AGGGTAGATTTAACTCAGAGGGGAAGAAAGAACAAATATGGGATGAGCAGGGCCTTTTGAGTTCAGAACACCTGGATACACTGATCAAAGGGATCATCTGTGAGTTTGACAGCTTTGCAACACACCAGCCATATTGTTTCCATAGAGACTCGGTGTAATAAGTCAGGATACGACTCGGCCCTTAGCGACAGTATGGCCTGTTGGATTCAGCTGATTTAAAGAAGTCGTCCACTCAGATGACCCCCCTGGCCTCCTCTTCTTTCTTAGCTCTCTCACTCACAAGGTCATCCCATAGCCAGTCATGACACTCCAATTAAGGCGACTGATCGACGCAGCTAATTGGTTGGATTTATAACCTCCTTTTATTATGCTTTATGAGGAAGGCAAGTGGAGGGCATTACCATTTATAGGCCCCAGGCTTCCACGCTGGATCACTGTCATCCACTACTGTCCGGCCCAGAAGCAAAGGGAAGCTGTAGCTGGGACTTTAAGGTGTCCTTTTACCCTTTCGTACGAACAAATCTAATGTTCAAATGGGAAAATGGTGTTTGCTGAATATAAGAATGAAAACACAAATGTTGGAAAGAGTTAAATATTGAGCGAAATATGGCGGGAGGATCTACGGTGCAGGTAGGCGAGGAGAAGCAGCCGAGGCTCCTGTAATGAGTGTGTGGTTATTGATTGTATTGTCAGGGTGGCTGACCGGGGTCCCGTGTGCTATGGGCCCCAGTCCATCTGTGGACAATGCAGTCAGTTACACCTCACTGCTCCGTCTAATAAAGAACAGGCAGATTGATGTCACCAGTATGGTTGAACTCTACCTAACACTCACCAGCACCACACACACACACACACACAAACACAGCAGCAGCAGCACACAAGAAGTCTGTGGCTGTCATAAAAGAGGGAAATAGTCTTTTTTTTTACCACTATCTGCAAAGAAATAATAGGAAACCTGATCGTATGCTTTAATATATTATAAAACCTTGCAAATAAATATTCTCATTCTTTATTTTTGTGTCATTCATCCAACAGTAAGTCTATGAATTTCTTTTAGTCTAAAAAATGTCTAAACATTACTGAAAACAGACTGGATTTCTCTTCCAGAGAGCAAAAAATACCTGAAAACTATTTAGTTTATATGTCAGATTGGGACAAAAGAGAACATTTTTGAATATTGTAAAAAAAATTGGGAAACATTTTGAAATATATGACTTGACTTAATTAAAATAAAAATACCATTAGATGTCCACACGGAGAGATAAATTGCAAGTGTAAAAATAAAACTTCACTTTTCTGAGTGTAAAGAGATTTTAGCCTATATAACATGACAAGCATCCCTGGGTTCAGGTTTCTGACAGACAGTGCGTCTAACCAGGTCTTGTGTAATGAAAACTCAGTGCTCTGCTGGTTAAACTTGTCTCGTTTGGGGGGAAGTCAGCACCTCCATCCGAGCGCTCGGCCGTGCTCCAGGCTCAGCAACCTCCCCTACAGCAGCACAAGCGATTACTCCTGCGCAGCAAGCCAAAACACAAAAATCAATAAACAATCTCAATGTTTCTGAGGGCTTTTCGTCTGACTTAATAAATGTCTCAATCCACTTTTATGACTTCATTTTGCTTTAACGTCTTCTTCATGTGCATCTTTTGCCGATCAATTAGAGGATGGAGTGCCCTCTCTGTCACGACACCTGCCCTCCATCAGCTGAAGCAAAACACACATACACACACACACAATGCTCAAGCCCAAGAGGATCAAGACGGTATTCAAAGCTTATATTAAATTAGATATGCTGTTTTATAGATATGCTTTTATAGATAGCTCAAAATCATGATTCATCCACCACCATGCTTCACTATGGGATTGTTATTTGTATCATTAATGCCCCTCCTTTCTTTCATCAATAAAATCAAAGCCCGTTTGACTTTTTTTGTCAACAGAAAATGTGACAACTGAAACGTTTCTTCTTTTATATGTAATGTTCAGCATTTGGAAAGGTGTGGAGTGCTTTTGATTGGTAGAGTTCTTCTGTGGCCATTTTCAAATGTATCTTCTGGAGTATCTCAGATGTCGGGATCATAAATGTTCAAAGTTTTTATATCAAAGCCATTGTAAATTAATTAATTATAAATAAGAACCTTTTACAGCAATCCAGTTAAAAACGAGTAACTTGTGAGGAAGTTATTATTGTACAAAAACCTTAACAGAAATGGAGTGGTCCAAAATCCCAGAAGACATTAAATTCACAACATTTTAATTGTTGCCACGGCTCAGAAAGGCTTTGCTTAATGGCTACAGAGAAAGAGTAAGAACCATGATGCTTATATGGATTTACATTAAAAAATATATACCCTCAAACTTATTAACACCTCTAATAATCATTTTTAAATTTGATCACACATATGACTTAAACTATGAATGAAATTTGGCATTTTTTTGTGTTTAACTGCACTCTGAACACGGCTGCAGCGTTCAGAAGAGGCATTTCCAGCCTGACAGAGAGATGATGACCATGATGCCATTCTCGCTGGCAGCTCCTGCTGTCACAGGCTCTGATGCCGCTGCAGGGATGACAGGTGAGTGTTGCCGGAGCCCCCTGGTCTGTGACTAGAAGCTCCAGGAGAATTTCACGCACACCCCTTTCTTGTCTCCCATTGATTCTGCCACTTCCCATTATTGTCAATCAGAGCAGAGTCGTCTCCTCGGGAGTTGCTGTGTGGCAGGCGATTGTCAGGGCAGTGGGGTGCGGAGACAAGCATGCAGCATGCCTGCCAGCCGCTACACCAGCACAGAGGAGAGCCCCTCTCGAGACGCAGCCTGGGCAAGATGCCCCGAATCAAACTGAGACCCTTTTGCTTCATAACACCAAGTGCAGGTGGTTGGGAAGCAGGGAGATGGATGAAACCTCATGACATGAGGAGCAGCTGAAGCTGAAAACATAGTTTCACCAGGCTGTCAGCAGGAAAGCAATGCTGCTCTCTCAGATGTGACTGCCTTGTTAGAAAAATGACAAAATAACAATGGCAGGACTAATGGAACAGTGGTGATGAATTGTTCTGGAGGTTAAGGAGGGTCTTGGAGCTTACGGTGTCGCCTGGTGGCTCATGACCCTTCTTAGACCACCGTTTTTTGGCCCTATGCGGGCGTTCTGGTTAGCGTGAAGCAACCATGCAGCCATAAGCTCTGGAGATTGATGGGAGCAGGGCCCTCCCTCCCTGCACTGTAAAAGATTATCCGCTCACCCGCTGGAAACAAAGCTGTGATAGAAATTCGTCTCGCATCATCAGCAACAAAATATCTACACAGCAAAGCGGGAGTCTCTCATTTTTCATGGGCTATATATTAAATTTTAAAAAAGGACATTAAAGAAATGGAGGGGGGGGGGGGGTGAGTGATAGCACTAGTTAGTATTTTCTTTTAAATGGGCCACTTGAATCAGGAAGATTATAAGGTTTTTATTGGCTGTCAGGAAAAACAACTTTCCGCGTACTTCACCCGCTGAAGCTCACAATGTTCTGATTACAATGCCAGCAGAAATGAAAAGGGATGGTGGTGGCGGGAAGGCCCTGGAGAAGCAACGGGACAAGCACAGATGCCCCCGGAATCTGCTCTCCCTCAAATACAGGGGGGAATACAAGACGACCGACACATGCACTAATAAAGCATGGAGAGAGTGAACAAGCGCCACACGAGCTCCAGCATGGAGATACACAGCCAGCTTCAGCGTCAGATCTGGTGTCAGCGGCTGAGCCGAGCCTTTTCTGAAGTGGATACATGAGACACATCAGGCAGAGCGTTATCTCTCACTAAGCTATTATTGCATTCAGCTGATATGTGATATTTGAATTTCCCATTAGGAGGAGAATACATGTCAGAGTGAAGAAGCTCTGCGATGCTCGCTTGTTTTTGCAAGAGGAAGAGAATGTACTTCTTGCTTTAAAGTTGCAGTGTGTCATGGTGGTGATAAGGGTGAAAGGATGTCGGGGGAATCCCGAGGGCTGCTATTCACAGGGTCACCTACACTGTAGCCTTTGAGAGGGTTGGAAGGCTAACCATCATTTACTAGAAACTCAACCAACTCAACCTGATCACTGTCATCTTCCCCTGAAGTGTTTTTAAAACGGCCCAACGTGAGTATGAAAGCAGATTGAAATCTGTCATCAACTGGACTTGAAAGACTCTGTCAGTTTGTTCAAACTGAGCTTTCAATTTCCCACAGTGGAGAGAAAGTAGGAGAGGCTTGCATCAAACTCCTAAACATGACAGAGCTGGCTCTTTCTGTCGAGAGGAAGCCATTGATTTTTCCTCCATTTGGCCATCAATCTGGTGGAGAAGAGGTGGCTGTGGGTGCTCAGACAGCTGATGATGTGATTTGTAACCGTGGACCACTGGCGAGCAGAGAGAATTGCTCAGACTCTCAACACGTGGTAAAGTGACTACTGCAGTCTTCGGCGTTCAGCTGGAAGATTAACAGCGGGGGATCGACTGATAATCTCCGGCGGCCGAGTGAGTATTTTCTCTTTCAGCCGCACTGCAGCCAAAGCAACATCTGTATTTGGCAGGACCAGTGTCACATCTTGGTGGGAATGTGTCACTCGGCTGTGAAAAGTGCTCTAGCCACTGAACAGGATCTCCATCATCCACTTAATTACCTACCTATCATCTACCTTTACTGATTTCACTACATTACTGTGGAAGACACTAAAAACATATTCAGTGAATAATTTAGTCCTATTTACATTTATTGGATGCCATTACAACACATTACATCTAGTGTAAAGTGAACACTGTATATCAGAATATGAGTCAGGCACGGTGGCGGTAGTGTGATGGTCTGGGACTGCTTTGCTGTTTCAGGACCTGAATGATTTGCTGTCAATGATGGAACCATGCTCTCTTAACAGAAAATCCAGAAGTTTGAACTTTGACCTCCCTACTGGAAAACCCTCCAATGTGCCCATATTAAAAGTATTCTGCAAAGAAGAATGGGACAAAGTTCCTAGATAGTCACACATTACCATTTATTGCAAGTGCTTGATTTTAGTTCTTGACATAAAGAGTTAACTTGGTTTGGACGATGCAGTTTTATTTTACAAATGAATGATTAAGTCATAAAAATATTAACTTATGACTTAAAAGACTAAACCTCTTATAAACATCCATCTTTCATCCTTAAAATGCACAAAAAAACGTGACTGGCCATACAAAATTCACTTGAACATTTTCAACCAATATCTTAAATTCAGTTTTGTTTCAACACTCAATGATGATTCCATAAAAGACATCTAGTGGATAAACATTACAATTTGATTGAATTTTACTATTGTAACATCTGGTGACATGGTGCAGGCTTTCTAAGGGATTAGTAATCCCCTTCAGATCATTTGCAAAGCAATTAGGCGTGCCTCTGCTGCTATTAGGCAAAACGATAACAGCCTTAAGAGATAAGATGCTATTTGTACAAGGCTTCAAATGTGGATAGCTGCCTCGAAGCCCTGATATCGCCAAGATTTATTTAAATCCTTGTAAATGAAATTAGAAAATATGGTAATAAAAAAAACTATGGACATATCTTCTGCACCATCTAACATGTAATTACATTCAAAAATTAAATGCCCAGATTTAAATCTGTAATTATTTGATTTTAAAGCATCACGTCATAAATACAACACAGTTTACACATTACCATCAAGATATATGTGTGTGTGTGTGTGTGTGTGTGTGTGTGTGTGTGTGTGTGTGTGTGTGTGTGTGTGTGTGTGTGTGTGTATTGGCACTCTAATAAATCTGAATAAGAAAATGCATAAATAACTTTAGCTGCCACGATAAACATTATTTTCAAAAAGGCAGAACTACGTTCTTGTTAGAAGGGCATCAAAATCATTTGGATTTCCTGTTGAAATCCAAAGTGAGCTGAACGACTCTGACTTACAACATGCAGTTGTCAGCGTGAACCAGAGTTCACGCACCCCCCATGCATGCATTTCTACCCTTTGGAACAAGTTGCACAGCATGAACAAATGCCAGTGACAAGAAAAGGAGCCAAAAAAGCAAATTCCCTGCTGACCTGTGACCCGGGGCTCGGGGAGAACTGCTCTGCATGCATACAGACGAGGTTCAAAGGGAGTTTATGACTGCATGATCACCGACTCTTCCTCATCCTCTCTCCACCCATCACTGGACACTAGAAACCACCGGGCTTGACTAGACACACCAGGCATCACTCATTCACTCGCCTCCTAGGTGCCTTTGTCAGGTGATTGCAGGTGGAAAAAGGAAAACAGATCAATACATCTCCCATGGGCCTGACAGGTAATCTTTACCTGGGATGAATTATGAGTGGAACCAGCCAGCCGGATTCCTTAACTGTAACAAGACAATTGACTAGCTCCACAGATGTTATTCCCATATTTTCGAGCCGATGTAAATTCATTTTGGGGCGTTAAGGTCTGGCTGAGGTGTCATTATGATGACTGCTAATTACAAAATGACAAGTGGGGTATTATTTTTCTATCTTCCTGCATGTGTGAGTTGATGCATCTTCCTTCAATTCATTAGCACCAAAACACTTGATGTCAGATAAGGCTTTTATTTATTTTTTTGCTTTTGCTAAATAATGATCTCCAAACTGTGCAACTCCTATTAATCAGGTTTCTTCTCCTGATGTGGAGAGACCAGAGTAAAGCTGCAGGAGGAGGCGCATCGGTGGTGGTGGGGGGTGGGACACGCTCCGTCTGAACACTTTGACTGATTTCTGTGGCAGCATGTCTTGTGCGAAGCATCCATTTAGACTAGTGTGCACACACAGCATTTATAAATGTCATCCCTCTAAAACATGATCACATAAATCCTTCTCACGCGGATTATTGCAGACGTACAACTCATATTAATTGTCAAATCTCATTTTATTAAATGAGATTCTTCTCTTAAAAAAGGCTTTAAAATGTTGAAAAGACATGTGGCGTTCTCTTGTTAAATAAAGTGCATATTTGTTACCTTTGATGTAAAATTTTGGGGGATTTTATGAGGAAGAAATACTTTCTGCAGGCTGTTTTCAACAGAATTAGTTTGCAGGTGCAACACGGGCTACAAATGTTCTCACCGAGAGGACGCGCATGTTTACATCACTGTAAACGGGTGCATTATTTTTTTCTGGGAAACCTGCTTGTTTACTAGCTTGGCTCAGACTGCTGTGTTTGATCTGACTGTATGCTGCATTGATCCTTTAATGCATCTGATGGTGGGAGCACTGGGGAACTGGATACCCCAAGGGTTTGTTTCCTAAAAGCTCCTCTGTCTGCTAGCTTCCACTCGTCCACTGCACCGCTCTAAAAGCAACTCATCCATCGCAGAAAAACAGCCTTTTCGAACAGACTTGCAGCTAGCCTTGAACTTTAAATACGTTTGGGGAAATTCGAATATAGAAAGTAACCTGATGAGAACAGAGGCAGCCCTCCGAGGACCGTGACTACACTCCCCTTGTGTTGTGCTAATGAGCACCTTTGTAGCAACTGTAGCTTTTCAAATCCATGCTAATAGGAGGTCTGTACTTTGTGTGGCTCGCCACCGGTGGTCGCCTCTCGTAACCCCACAACAGCATGTGGTAGCCAAACATTGTGATGTTCTTACAGCCATTGTTGGCCGCCCTGAAGTAGAGCAGACTCTCCCCCCGCCCGGACCACTGAGCCTCAACTGACCATGCTTCCAAGGTTCCTGCTGACAAGTGCTGCACTACTAGAGTGGGCATAATAATTGGACTTTGCAGTAGCAGGTGGCCTGGAGACTTTGTGTGGGAACAGGGGGAAGAAGCAAAGTCTTAGAGTCAGACAAGAAGCCACTTGAAGCTGACTTCTTCTTTGAGGAGATGGCGAAGGGCTTAACAAGGCTTGATTGCATTAACATTTGCCATGCTTAATATACTACCTGGAAGGGCTGGATCAAGCAGGAACATGCTGATTTGAAGACTAATGATGTGCTTTGTAATTTTTATTTCTTTGTTGTAAAGTTTGTGCAGCAATAATAGTTCCTTCTTTTCTTGAATTCCCCGGCACAATAGTTTTCTTTTTCTGTTTCTCTCTGTTGAGCTCCGTTCAAGTGTCCTCGTGGAGTAAAGATGAACTCTCAGGCTGAGCACCAGAAGAAAACTGGGGTGCTCGCGGTCCCACTTCTAGGCATGATGTGTTACTGGCTCCTTCTTTCGACTCTTCAATCTGGGGCTCTGTTTACAAAAAGCAAAGGAAGTCGTGCATCAATATTGGAGAAAATTCAAAAGACGCTCGCAGGAATCCGACTTTACTTCCTATTTTAAGCAATCTGAGTTAAAAAGCAGTTCAGGTTCCTATGATCACTGATTTAGATAAGCTAAAATCAAACTATGAATCACATTTTTTCCAAGTTAAATATTAATGGGATTAAAGACAAGAGAGCCAGATCCTATTCAGCTCCAAGTTTAATGAACATGACAAATAAAGGGAAAATCTTTTTTTTTTACTTGTTGGCTGATTTTCACAGAAAATAATATCACTCTTTGACATGCCTTCTTACTTTTCCTACTTCAATTTTAGAAATAAATCATCCCAGATCGCCCCCAAAAAGTTAGTGGTGGTCACACTAGACACTTTCCAGGCAGAGAACAAGGGAACTAGAAGTGACATTGTGGCTCTGGGCTGTCTCAAAGGATTAGGTATTACAGCATTCAGCGGCATGTGCTTTAGCTCGTTCCCGATATATCTGCTTGTGCCTCTTTCCAGATGACTTCTTCCCCAAACTGATCCGGCAGGCAGGATAATTGATTAATATTTCTTGAGGGAATGATGACTAACCGTTGCTGAGGTCCAGCCCAAACACTCAGGTTAAACATAGGCAAAAGGACTTGATCAAAATTCAGGAGTTTTCATGTTTGACAGATACAAAGAAACAGCAGGGAACATTAGTTTGAGTGCTTTCACGTGCACAAGGTGTACCACATAGCAACTCCACTCCAATATCAAGGTTAAAATCAGGACAATAGAAAAAAAGAAAGAGGCTTAAATCCAAAGTAAATGACTAATTGCCGCTGGCATTTTATACACATTTTCAGATAGATAAAGATATTAAAAATATATATAAAGTAAAAAGCATATGAAAAGTAACAAACTTTATAATATACAGTATATATTATTATACATAATGACATATCACTTCCAGGCGAAACATTGTTAAAGGTGCAATATGGAAAAAAGAATGAAGTAAGAAGGACACCCTGTGGTCAAATGTGGGTACTGCGGTCCATTTTTCTAAACAAAACGTAACGCTCGGTAGTGTGACGGTTCGGTAAGTTTCATGGCTGTTGCCAGCTACGGCTCAGCACCAGAACATTCTACATTCTACATTTAAGTTATGTGGATAAATACATGAAACTATTATATTGAATTGTTCATGTTTGAAAAAGTAGCTCGAGATTTTTTAGAACAGACAATGTTCTTCTAATTCATCATTAGCATTGTTAGCTCAACCTTAGCCTTTAGCCTTCTTTACCTGATATTAGAGTGCCGTGGCTTCTTAAGCCTAATTTATACTTCTCAGTCTGCGTCGGGACAGACGCACGCAACATCATTATCCGTGCCTTCGAGGGCTCTCCGACAGGCTCGCGAGGATGGACGGAGTGGAGCTCTCTTTTCTAAACATCCGTTCGTTGAGACGGAGAACGCAATCTTGTCACTGGTCAGGACGCTGCTGTCGTCGACAGCGCCGCCACTGCGTCCTCAAAAACATAAAGAGAGCCGAGGATATCTAGCGGAAGACACAGAGAAGCTTGAAGAATACCTCAAGGAAAAAATGTTAAAATGTGAACGTTTTATTCCCCCGTGACTGGATGAGTGAAAAGATACGCAGCAAGCGTTTTATTCGTGGAGGGAAATGACGGGAAACATGGGTTTAGAGGTGGCGAGCGCATGAAGAGGTGGTGGAGAATGAGGGACAAATTTGTCCCTCTTAAAAAGTCTCTTAAATACAAAAAAACACAACATAAACACACTTAACTTGGACCGGATACATAACAGGATACCACGGAAATACGCTACGCCCTCCGTTGTCCTGGTGGGAAATTGCTTTGCAACACTCCCCAAGAGACGGAGAAGTATGACGGCAAATCGTCTTCGTCCATCCGTGCGTGTCTCTCCCTTTTGGAGCTGACGGAGAAGTATGAATTTGGCTTTAGGGGTACAAGTAATAACTTCTGTATCGCTCCTGGTTACTGGCTTCAGTACTTGAAGCAACTCTGGAGCTTCTCGCTGACCTGTATCGAAGTCAAAATACCGATGCAGAGTTGGCAACGCCGTGAGCTCACAGCTTGTAAACAAAGACTACGTTTATCTTTGGCCATTTTGAACGGAGAAAAACTGAAAACCACCCAGCGGGCTGAGACAGACAGCTTTATCTTTAGTCTCTAGGATTAGTTTTACTTGAAATGCACTTTGATTGAAAGGATTTACATGAATAATTATTATTAAGGTAGGACTTTATCGATCTTAAATGGTTACAACAGCACACAATAACACAAAATAAAGTGAAAAATACAGTGAATATAAAGATATAGACAAATAAAACATAAAACTGTGGTTTTGTTTAAATATATGCTAATAATTATTGCACTATTATTATTATTATTATTATTATTATTAACAGTCACAAAAGCAGCCTTTTAGCCATACAAATATTCATGAATATATTTATGAGTTTGTAAAAATTGTGTAAAAAAAACAAAAGCAGGTGATTTAAAAAACTAACACATGCAATCAAGTAGTTTTACATCAAGGTCAGTAAAGAAGCTCGAATGCAAAGGTTCTCTGTCAGAAGGAGAGCTACAGTATTTATAGCAGGTGATAATGGGAAGTTGAATGGAACCACCTTACCATCTTAATAAGCTCTTATGAGATGCTCTCTGAAAACAATCATTACGGGCCTTCCTGGAGCACTCCCGCTCCCCCTGTTTATTAATCAGCTAATTACACATTGACAGTAATGGGCCTGCTGATTCCCACACTTAAATGAACAGGCTGAATAGCTCTTTAATGATTAGCCTTTGTGCTTCCCTTGGTCCTGCTTGCTCTCTTTCGCTTTCTCTCTCTCTCTCTCTCTCTCTCACACACACACACACACACACACACACACACACACACACACACACACACACACACACACACACACACAGCTCCTTTCACAGCTGCAGAAATAGGACATTTAAATAAGACCTCCTGGCAAGAAGGTTTACTCACAAATGGGCCGAGAAGCACCTGACAGAATGAGCTGCTGAAAACAAACATGTTTCCACACAAACAGCGGTAAGTGGTGCCGGTGCATCAACCTGCTTGGGTTTCAGGACTGAGCTAGCCCCGAGCAACAGCTACAGCAGCCCACAATGAAAGTTTGGTGGAGCAGCGCAGACAGGAGCAGGTCGAGGCTGAGCAGGGCCACAATGGGAGTGGGGGGTTGAAGGACGAGAGCAGGTTGCGGAGTGGAGCCGGAGAGGGCAAAATAGTGCGGTGGGCTGCATTTCTGTCAGCACAAGTGATGGCTGAGTGGTAGCGTTATTTGTCTTGTGCTGCCACGCGGCCCTCGCACCAGCCTGGGCATTAATGAGAGGGGGGCCGGGCCGCAGGGTAGGAACACGGTGGGCCTCCAGCGCAGGTGATCTGTCACACAGCCGTCTAGCTCAGAAAAGGAGACGCATGAAGACAGAGGGGAGAGGAAAAGCAGCCTAGCCCAGACTTAGGATCACATGGGTACCCAACGTGGAAAGACACACACACACACACACACACACACACACACACACACACAGCTTGATGGGTTAGAATAATTAATCACAAGCACACTTATTCCTGAAATGTAACACCGAACACGCTCGGTTTTGTTTTACCACCAACACCTTGAAGAGAAAGAAGAAAGGTGGTGTCTGAAACAGGGGAGGGGTGTTAAAAGTCCTTCCAGATCTGAAAAAATCTAAACTGTGCACAATAAATTCAATTTTTATGACTAATAATCCAGTAATAATGCAAAGCATAAATCCTGATGTACTTATAACATGTGAAAATGTAAGCAAAGCTTCTTTAAATGAAAACATGAGAACCGTAAAGCAGAAAGGAACCATCTTTTGTTCTAAACCTAATAAGAACTTGCTGGACTGAGTTGGATTCCTTGATTTGGAGAGAAAAGTAGAAAATGGCCAATTTAAAGCTGAGAAATGGAGTGGTCATCTAATCCAAACAGATACCTGGCCTGATAAGTTGTTGTTTTGTGTGTGTGTGTGTGTGTGTGCGTGCGTGCGTGCGTGCGTGCGTGTGTGTGTGTGTGTGTGTGTGTGTGATTTCTTCTTTTTACAACCAGTTTTAGCACTGCAGTAGAGGTGCTAAAAGGGTAAAGGAAGAAGACAAAGCAACAGCTGGGTACCGCCTCGGTAATTCCCCGTAGAGCCCTGGAGGATACCTTCGGCCGCGAATCATTTTCACTCCTGATTACAGAGTTTCAGATCAACCACTAACATATACAACAATCCACTTCCTCTTGGCTAATCCAAAGACTCAGCTGTCGTGTTCACTAAGAGTAATACGCTGCTCTTTCTGCTGAACGCAGACAACAATCTTTCCATGCAAAACAAGATGTCTACCAGGAAACGACTTCACTCAGTAAATCACAGAATCTGATTTGCCTCTGTGCACATCTATGTCAGAGTGGCAGCAAACCAAAATTCCTGCACAGAGTGTAAAAGCTTGTCAGGGTGAATGTGCATCTCCTGGAGGTCCTGTGATTACTGAGCAGAGACACGGTGCAGCAGGCTGCCAAAGTAAAGATTTATACAGAGCAGTTGCACCTGCAGAAACTGACATTGGACGACATGGGGTGCATGATAAATCATGGTGGACAGGGGGCACGAGACTCGAGAAGCAGGAAAACAGACTGAACAGGGTCGATGAGGATGTGCCAGCCAGAGAACCACCTTCTGTTTGCTCTTCAGAGACACATTTAAATATATTTAACAGTGATCATCCGTTTACAGATTTTTACAAGATATGTAAAAAGGAGGGTCTCCTGCTCTTCCTGTGTGCGAGTGTTAACTGTCAACAAGCTGAGGGATGCCCCTGGCTCTGCACGTGGAATATAAGGGGTCTTTAGGGGCCAGGGGTGAATCCTTTTTTACTTTTATGGGAATAGGTTCAGCACTGGAGAGGTGAAGGACAGAGTTGCCAGCCATTCCATCACTCAGTGCAATAAATGGATCCAATCTGTATCCAAGTAAAGCAGTGGCTGTTTTTAAATTCCACCTCTTTTATCCAAATGAATGATGGACCCCAGTACAGAGCACTGTGCAGCAATATTAATATACATCAGTGGCCTGCACCCCTCACTAAATCAGGGAACCACCTGCATTTGTTATTTAAATGACAAACAGCAGCTGCTGCAGTGGCAAGTGGAGCGGGGACGCAGAGAAGAAGGTGGACAAACCAATTCAGGCTTCAATCCGGTGAAGACGCGAGGTTTGGAGACATCAGCCTAATGAAAAAAGGCAGCTCCTCCGGTTTAAACACACACAGCACTGACAGATTGGTGTCGCCTGTGATAACATTCGCTGTTTTCTTACAATGAAAGCTTCCAAGTATCACCTCCTGACATGAATCCCCTTTGCTACCGAACCAAATCTCCAACATGAAGTAATGAACTTTAAATAATGTCAGGTCAGAGGGTGACTGAACAGAAAACTGTAGAGCGATCGTGAGTTTTTATGGATTTAAAGAGTAGTAATGTAGCATTTACCTACTTCTAAAAGTAGAAGTAAGCATGTCATGAATGTAAAACCTTATTCTGACCTGTTCTCCGCTGTGGGACGTTTAAAATTTTCTTCACTGTTGACTGGAGTTAAGAGTTTCTGCTGCCGGAAATAACAAATGTGATGTTTTACAGCAGCTTATAAAAAGCTATTGGGCTGTCAGAAATGACTGTTTCATATTTGCCTTTATTTTTATGGCCTTTTTTTGGGAGGGGACACATGAATATAATACCACTCAGATAGATTGTTTTATAAAATGTTTGCCTTCGTTTTCCAGTAAAGCCAGACTTAGTAGAGAATGAGAGATCCCTTCAGAGCAGATGTGGACTTGTCTGAGAAACAGAATGAAATATGACAGACATAGTGGCTAATTTGATCATAGCCTGAAATTTCGGGCACCTTAATTTTACTCATTTTAATCATTCAGGTTCATATTAAAATAAAACTGAAAAAAATGGAACGGATATTTTGACCTTTAAACTAGGGGTGGGTGATAAATTAATTTTTTTTTTTTTTGTCATTTATGAAGATAAAATTTGGGGAAATTCAGAGTTCAGAGTAATGTCAGCCCACGTCTCTCATTACGGATAAAACAATGTTTGACTTAAGTGGTCTGCATGAAAGTTTTTCCAAAAAACAGCATTAAGATTTTAGCAGAAAGAAGTCAGAAGTTGCCAAATCATCTGTTGCCAAGTTTTCACTAAACGCTGCCACTACAGAGCACCACGTCTCTAAAATCTGCTGCTGCCGGATAGTTAGCTCCACTGCTAGCCGTTAGCTTTCTCAGCAGCTTTTCTCTCCCATACACCCAGGATCCAGTTCAATATGCAAAGCTCCATTCCAAGCAATAGCCTGATCCAGGTTTGTTTCTTGGATAACGCAGATGTTTTTAATCTGAGAAACCTTTTTTTTCCCACCATAATGCAATTAAAGTTTAATGCTTTTTTTTTTTCTAAAAAAGCATGAAAATGGCATTAATTATAAAATCTTGTTTTGCAAGCAGATTTTACAGCTTGTTTTTAGCTCCCAGAAGGGATGATTTAAAAAAAAGCAAATTTTCGAAAGCATATTCTGTCATTTATCATTTCTGTTTAAGGAAGGAGAGAAAATTTTAATCCACTTGGAAGTTGGATTTGGAATGAAAAAAATCTGAGATTTTTATTTTTAAGCCATGTCGCTGAGTCCTACCTGTAAAGACTAAATGCAAAGATGGAATCTCCTAAATAAAAGTAAAAGATGTTGATTGTGAGTCTAAAAGCATTAAACTGCAACATTTGTTCACTAAAAAAATCCCTCACCTGTGTCTGAAAGACGTGCTATCCTGAATGGGTGGTGATGTGTGCAGGGTGTTACCTGATGCTGTGATGGATACAGCCTCTGTTCCTCTCCTCCTCTTTGTGTCTCCTGCCATTAAACTGCTCTGCCTGGATGGTCAGAGACAAAAAAAAACAAACATTAGTGACCGCATTAAATCACTTTACCAAAGTCAATAAAAGCAGACTCGTTGATAAAAATGACCAGATACAAAGTCTGCCTTTATCATCTGCGGTCCAGACGTAACCAGACTTTATTCTACGGAGGTTTTAAATAAACCTGTGAAAGCAGCAGAAGAGCAGACAGTAGAAACTCCATTAACATCTCCTCTTGAGAGAGCCGGCTGCTTAAAACTCGGCTTTAGCAGACACGCGCTACAGCAAGGCCCCGTCAGGACAGCCTTTTAACTGGCAGTGTGTTCCATGACCTCAACGCCCATAAATCACATGACGGGTGTGCAGACTCTGGGTGTTGAGAGCTGCTCGGGGCGCGCTTTGAGCGAAGTCCCTATGTTGTATAATCAATAGATATAAAAATAAATGGCCTGACCGTTATTCTCTCCCTGCTACCTTTCTCTAATAAAATCCCAGTAATGCATATTTCATTTACTTTTATACTTATTGATTACCTGTACTCCAGTTAGTAAATCACGCGCCTATCGATCCCTCAATCGTACCTCTGTCGGACAGCACATAACCAGCCATTTGCGCCCCTGATAAAGAGCTCAGACATTGAACTCCCCACCGTAAATCTTTGCAAACTAACTTTTTAATTCCAAAATCGATCCACATTTAAACGTGGTATTATTTCACAAGGCACGCCTGCGGCATTAAAAGTAATACAGCGACGCTTTTGGTTTTCATGTATGGAAGTCCATCCTGATCTCTTCCCTTGCCGCATCAAGGTCTGGGATGTGCAGCCACCACCACCCTCATCAATGTGCAGCCTAGAGGGGGGCGAGGACCCTTTCCCTGCTGCAACCGAGCCACTGTGGGAGCCATCAGGAGCCCACCGAGGCACTCAGAACAATGCAAATCAAACATGAGAATGCCATCAGCTGGCTCATTAACCAAGGAAAAACACAACCATTCATCTCGGAGCATAAACCAAAGGCTTTTTATCAGCATACATCATGGCTCAGTAAAAAACCCTAAGCAGCACTGTTGTTATTATTTAACAGCTGTTGTCATCAGTTTTCCAGATGTTTCTACCTAAATTTACAGAAACTGTGATGATAAAACTAAGATTGACTTTGGGGGTTTGGGAAAGGAAAAAAAATAAGTGAGAAGGAGTGAAGGTGGCCAACAACAACTAAACACTATCAAAGACACAAGGACATAGAAGAAGAAAACGATAGATTTCTCAGGTCATATGAGACACTTTGAAATGCAATGAAGTCCCTTTGGGCGGAGAGTAAAACAGCACTGACACAGGGTCAATTGTAATTTTGGCTCACACATCCAAAAGCAAATATATCAATTAGAAATAATAAATCTGAAGAGGAGCGAGAGGCCGCAGCTACAAAACTACCATCCATTTTCATTAGGCTACATGGTGCTTCAGGTGTGGGCAGGATCTCAAGATTAATAGAGGTATTCAAATGAATCAGAAAGGATTAGGGTCTCTAGGGGACATAATCGATAGCTCCAAATCAATAATCAATAGGCCACTCACACCAATATACTAACTGCTGACACTGTGATCTCACAATTAAAATGAAAACCAGGCAGGGTGTGGTGTAAGACTATGATTTATCTCATGGCGCAAGTGTTATTTAGAAATAAATAAGTCAATAGATAAAAGCTGCTGCTGTGCGGCTCAGGTGGGAGGGAGTTACGCATTTTAAGGTGGTCACAGCCCCACCACAACCACCCAGAGCAGCACATCAAACCCCAGAAAGCATTGCACCTGCTCCGACACAAGGATGGGTCATGTGTGATTAAGATGCATCAAACAAGCAATGACATTTTCTATTAATTTGGTGTCAAGTAAAAAAAAGAAAAGAAAGAAAACCAGAGGAGTTCAGAGTCAATTGTGAATTTTAAAAGAGTCATACACTCTTTATTTTAATGAATCTGCTGTGGTCTCCAGTATAAATGAATGAAAGCCTTGTGAGTCCATCTCTGTGGAAAAAGCTTTCATGCTCCTTTTTAAAGACGCAGAAGTTGATATTGGATCATCTCACCTCTGACTGGCTAACAGTAATGCAACTCTTCCACTGCCTCCGTTAGCTCTGCAATGCTGATGTTTTATCTCCACAGATAACACAAGTCTGAAGGTTTTCTGTCATGTTGTGGAGTTGCTAATGCTAACAGTTAGCATCTAGCCAGGACGTTCTCTGGTCTCTCCTGAACGCTAAATCTACAACAGCCTTCTCCGTCGTGGGTTAAGATGGGTCCATATCTGCTAATTTACAGTGTGATATAGATCTGAGTGGCTTTTTCTGACCCGACCATTTCCCCATCTATTTTCCTTCAGCGGCTGATGCAGGAAATAGGGGTAGAAGACTGTTTTCATGTTCAGCATTCCTACTGGAAACATCAGCATAGTTGATTACCGGTATATAGGCCAGCACCAATGCCACCAGCACCAAGACACAACATATGCTGGTAACCAACTATGCTGGTCTACGCAGTTTGTTTTTCAGCGAGGATGCATGTAAAACTTAAGAGTGATCAATCATATTTCAAAAAGAAGAAGCATCATTTGTTCCTCAGTGAGACTCATCTTTGATGAATAGGTATGGTGAAACCACACATATTTCCTTAAAGGGACTTTACGGAGTTTAGGATTTTTATGTTCGCGATTGCTCCCTCTGGCCAAAAGCGTAACGGCAGCTTCAATAGGAGGCTCGTGCACGAGGCGCGCATGCTGTACGTGCACACTCCTTAACGAAAATAACAGCTGAGACGATGCTCTGTGAAGCTGACGGGGGTCAGCTTCACAGAGCTTTGAGAGCTGACAGTCCCTTGTGTGTGTGTGTGTGTGTGTGTGTGTGTGTGTGTGTGTGTGTGTGTGTGCGTGCGTGCGTGCGTGCGTGCGTGTGTGTGTGTGTGTGTGTGTGGCCCGGAGGACAGAGCGCAGGAGAACGCGCAGCTAATTAATTAAATAATTTGGTTTTGTACCTTTCTCTTCAGCACAGCCGACAAAGGTTTATGATGGGTCAGTCCTCCTGCATGCTCAGATCACGCCCTTCCCTTGCTTGAAAAATTGTTCCAAAATGAAAGTTGAACCCACATCTTTTTTTATCTATGAATTCAATGCCGTTCAGCGAGTCTCAAATAAAAATTTGGGCATCTTACTGTAAAAAAATTATCATTAATGTAAAAAAGAAACTCTAAATAAACTGTGTTCTCACCCAGAATCGTACCCGGGTCTCCTGCACGAGTCTGACGTCAAACTAGATGAGCTAAACCACCACTGAAGTTTTGGGTATCTGTAACATTTATATCCTTGATTACAGCTAAAACAACGTTCAAAGAACGGTTCTAAGCTAAAATGGCTATTTTGTTGCTAATTTGCAGCAAATATCTAGAGAAAGTAGCTAAGGGTCCTCAGAAATGTAGCTAGGTTCATCACTAGGCGTTAGGAACAGCGACAAAGTCGCTGAGTTGGCACTACCTCACTCTGCTGCTGAATCTACGAATAGCAAATGCTACGGGCTATGCCTGAGCGTGAACGCGCCTGAAGCAGCCTGCTCGACCCGAGCAGCTCTCTTTTTCTGTGATTTTACAGAAAAACAGGCAATCACAGTAAAAATGCCAGGGCTCATTCTACAGGACCAGGGCATTGCAGGAGAATGTATGAAGAAGAAATTTATTATTTCTATGCATGTTTTGGCTGTCAAACTTCCATAATGCCCCTTTAATGATTTTTTGTTCGTGTTTTGGATGAACTCAGAAGACCCAGATTGGTACCAAGAGAGCAGAGCCAGGTCATGAGAACGAGGCGGCCAAATCACCGGCTCAGGAAAGAAGATTCAGCTCGTGCCGTCCAACAGAAAACATCAGAAGTTCCTCTCGTCAGAGCCCCCCACCCCCCTTTCTCCCTCATTCATTTGGGAGTATGATTTCTACTTTTTGAAGTGAAGGGTCTTGAATCGCACTATAAAGGAATTAAGAGATCTCCCCCGAGTCTGTCATTCAAATGAGAGCATGGCAGGGATATGAGGGCTTTTTAATAGAAGAAATTAGTATTCACAGTGCCTTAAACTGGAATCTGAAGGAACCTTTCAGGTGGAGAAGAAAGGGCCAGTTTAGAAAAGAAAGCCCTAAGAAGTCGGGGGGCTTTTCATAGCAGTCGTGTTTTTGCCCCTCATCAAGGAGAGCTGGAGCACTCTGTGAAATAACCCAAGAGAGAGGAAGGGAGAAGGCGCACATTGTGTCTGTGTGTGTGAAACAAAAATTAAGCATGCACCATAAATAGGCAGAGTGGTAACAACACAACGAGGAGTCCCACATACTCGAGGCCAAGAGGGCTGCTCGGTTCCTCAAAAGTTCCCCCCGTGTAGACCCAGCCGTTCTGGGGATGACCAGAAGCAAAGTGATGCTTTGATGAAAGACCGTTTGGATTTTTCTACTGTTTCTATTCGGTCCCAGAAAATTTAAATCAACATTAAGTCAACATTATATTTATATTTCTGTGGAGACTGACCTTGAAAACTAGTAAGTGAACTCAGAACTAGAACTTTTTGCACACCTTGATGCAGCATGCCTTTGGTCATACTCCAACCATCTCCTGTGTTTGACTACTAAACGGTGTTACCTGTTTCTGTAGAGCGAGGACGAACACCTGAGAGGGGAGCTCTCTGACGCCACATCAATAGGACACACTGGCAATGGGCACAAAGGGTTCAGCTAGAAGTAAAAGTATCAATAAAATACAGATCTTAGAAATCAAAATGAAGTTTAAGTGAAATAAAACACGTGGTAAAAGCTTACTTGGTTCCTGTCAGGTTTTCCAACAGGAGGCAGCCAGAAGCTACAAGGAGAAGGCCACATTTTGAGACAAATAGACTTAGTAGTGGGACATAAATGTGCTTTCTAACACGAGTGTATCTCACTTTCTCTGGGAACGATCTTGGGAGAAGTGCCTCAGTCTTTCCACAAACGCTGGCATGTTGTGGCTCTGTTGGACGCAGACACACGATTAGAAATGCTAAACAAATGCTGCAACTGTTTTAAGCATTCATAGCAGTGAAGAAGGAAACGCAGGCGTTCTTAAACCTTCCTGGGAAGTCGTCTCCTGTCCTTCCTGAAGCAGCAGGCAGCAGAGCAAGGCAGGCGATTCAGACGTGAGTGATACCCTGCAAAACACAAACCTCATTGTTCCGTGCAAGCAAAGGATCAGAAAAGGGAATAACTAGTGTAACAGAACAGGAACAGTTAGTGATAAATAAAATAATAACAATCATTAACCTCAATCAAAGCTGTTTAACGGAACTGTGACGATTAAAAAAAAACTATTATTTTACTTAACTTCTTAATTCCAAAATTTAGTCAAATCTGTTCTGTTTTCACCAGAAAAATGTAACACAGTCTCAAGACCTACTACTATTTTCACATAAAGGGACAGAGGCACCTCTGACAGATTGCCGTGCAGGCTGCAGGAAGTTGGTGGAGGTGCGTCGACTCTCTAGAGAAAGTGAGCTGTCCGAGTCCCAGTTGGGCAGGAGTCCTGCCACCGCCTTCCCGACTCCACAGTCCCCCTCGAAGAACCAGTCGCTCTGCTCATCATCGCCTGAGGAAACGTAAAAGCACAAATGTGTATTAATCACAAGATTCACCTTGTTTAATCAATGCTGTTTCAGATTTTTCTTAATGTTTTCCAGTCTGATCCTTTTGTGTGGGAGTCAGAAATGTCTGAAGCTCCTCACCAGATAGCATCGGTTTCCCCCCAGAGGCAGTGAGATCCTCTCAGACCTGTCACTCAGCATGGTGCACACAGGAACCATGCCTCTCACAGTCAAGGTGTAGTGACAACTGTTAAATCAGAGGCCGCCCGGCCCCACCACGGCTAATGAGATTAGCAAAGGCTTCAGCGCTCATTAACACGACATGACAACGTCTTATTAGAGTCGCCTGGGCGCCCAGCAACTGGCCCGCTGTAGCAGAACCTCCCTCTGTAGGCCCAGCATTCCCACTCTGAGTGGAGATGGGTGATGTCCACCTGACAGCTGCAAACAGTCACGAATCCAATCAAAGTCCAAGCTTTGTGATACCTTGTCTTCCTTCGTCGTTTGTGAACAGACCGGGGTCGCTGCTGCAGGTGCTGCTGGTTTCCCTGCAAAGAAAACAGAAACGTCTCCCAATCTTCTGACATACAAGAGCCAAGATCTTGGTTTAGATTTGTCATCTGAGAGTAGAGGTCGGCTGATGTTAGAGCATCTGAGAGGTGAACAATGTGAATGGAACATTTACATGCTCTGGTCACATCAGTGATCGACATGTAGCATTCACTAGTAAAACTGATGACTGGAACTGGAGGTCGACGTGAGTGGAAATGACACAAAAAGACGGAGCGTGGTGTGTTCTCTCTTGCTGGGATGGTAAACACAAAGGCATCGAGAGCGACTCTGATCGAAGTCACTGAGTGACATCAACAATCTAATTGAATATCCTCCGCTGTCAGCTCCAATCTAATCTGGTCTGCGTTGTGGAGGATGACAGCGAAGAGGAACACAGTCTCGTGTCTGCCCCTCCCTCTGGGTGTGCCCCTCACACAGATGAGCTGCCGCTTGCACACAACAACTGGCTGACATCTGCTGCGGGGGCTGCCACTGCTTACCGTCCCGACTGTTCTGCTGCCGGTCCCCTCCACACCCTCAGGCAAACCCCAGTTACACTCCATCCGCTGCCTCGGTAAACCCTCACCCTGTATTTGTCACACCTCTACAGGGTTAAAGACAGATGCATAAACAAGTGTTCAAAGTTTCAGATATGTATATGATTTTGAGGCCACAGAGGTAGTTTTATCTGTTAAATAACTAATTCATGACTGAGAAAAGGGAGGCTTAATTCTCTCGACTGCCTAGCAGTTTCCACCCTGTTTATCATCTCTGACCTTGCTTGCAGGAAAAAGCTGGAGGGTCAGATATGCGCTGATACGGAGCTTTGCCATATTGCTGAGGCCTCTGGACGACGCCAGGATCAGGAAGAACGTCCGTCCAGACTGCCTGTCTAACCAACGGCCAGATGGTCCTGCGTCATCCCCCTGAACATCCACGAGAAGCAGATGTGAGAGGGAAGCAGGCCTCTCCGGGGAATCTCAGAGATGTCTGGACTAACCGAGCAGCCCCAGACCATCACTCCACCCCCATCCCACCTTTTCAATCCCATCTCTTGTGACTGAATCCTGTAACACACCTCTGGAAACATCAGCTGGCATCTGGCACGCACAGCACTTTTAGCCAGCTTCCGATTTGGAAGCAAAAAGTCATTTTAAGTTGATTTAGAGGGATTTCAAACAAAGTCTGAAAGAGAATCACAACTATTAACATTTAATTAAAGGCATTCATTAAGTATTAATCTGTATTAAAGGTGTAATGTGATGTTGCTTGGAGCAGGATTGAGCCGATGCGAGACTGTTTCCATTAAGTGCTGCCTAATTAATGCAACTAATAACTGGCGAACCCATTTTTCATGAGACACAGCACCTCTTCTTCCTTCAGCTATGACCTTAACCTCCGAAAGTTGATGCAAATATTGAGCAACTTGCCAACTAAATGCTGCAAGAATATCTTAAACAAAACATCACAAATAATCCAGTCCAGGAGGCGGGGAGGGATTTTGTACTATAGATTAAATTCTATAATTAGGATACGTGTCCAAGTGAAACAAAGGCAAGGGCAAAACTCCAGCGTTGTGGGATGAACTGAACTCCCCACATGGCCTTATTGTTTCTACACAAGCCAAAGAGGTGAAGCAAAACACAGTATCCAGATGAGCACTAATCATTAGGATATAATCCTCAGCTCCTGGGAGAGGCAGAGCAGTTTGCACAGAGATTACAGGCAAGCCGCCATTTATTGAGCACAGGCTCATTCTGCAGAGGAATAAAGCAGAGGAGAGTTGGAGAAGAGGGGCAAAGTGCTGATAACAATGGATCTGTGGGCTCTTCAAACAAGCCGCCTCAACCCAAATCTATGCCCTCTTCTATTGGTGACTGATTATAAGGTTATCCCACCCTCCCTGAGCTGCTGTAATTGGATTAGTCTCAGAGATTTATGAAAATTAACTTCAGCAAATGCTGCACTGCCTTCTTGAAAAACTCCTCAGAGTTTGAGAAATCTAAATTACAGCACGGCAGAGCTGAGCAGGGCTCAGGGTGGCTTTTGTTTTCCCGAGCACATCAACAGAAGCGACTCACAGCTGAAGACGGAGCTCGGTAGGCGACTACCCCACAGGTTAGGCCTGTTTGCTGGGCCAGCCTGGGTGCCAGGTGGCCTCACTGCCAGCAGGCCAGGCCGGGCCGGACCTAATCAAGGATGTGGAGCCCAACTGGAGGTTCCAACATCTGCTCTCTTTGCACTCGGGTGACCGAAGGCAACGCTCAGCTTGGTGTGTGCAGAACGGGAGTGACCTTGATGAGGGGGACATTTTTACAAAAACTCAAAGTAAAAAAATTAAATAATCCAACACATTCCAACAATGGCATCTGAGTCTGACAAACAAACCACAAGACCTCAAAGTATAAACATTGGTGTTGTAACACTGTCAGCCCCTCATCACGGCTGCCATTTCTTAATATCTTTCTTCAAGTCTTAACTGTGGGATTGTTCAGCCTTCGGTGCAGAGTGGCAGTCTACTGAGCAGCAATCAGCGCTGTAGCCATTGTGTAAGTGAGAAATGATTGACAGCGTTCCTGGGTGCTCCCATTTATTTCTTCTCCGGAGCTGTTTTCTGTCAGAACGGCTATTGATTTTTCCATAAAGTAAGAAAACAAATACCGTTTAGGGGCTAGAGAGGTCAGCACAAATTAAACCAGACGATGCAAAGCCTTCTCTCTCCCATTATAACCCACTTCCACCACATTTTCTCAAGTGCTTTATATGACAGAATGATAATGAGATAATGAAATAAAATACACTGAAAAAAGGACTTTAAAACAAGACTAGTACGGTTTTAAAAGAAGTAAGTATTCAAGTAACCAGCTTTACCCTGAAATATGGCCTTTAGGAAATCCATCCAAGACCAAAGTGTATTTTTGACTCCTGGCCTTCTAAATTTAACACTGGTTGATTATATTAGCCTTGAACAACAGGTAAGATGGTCATCATTTATCTTTTTACTAAATCACTTCAGGATCAACTTTTTCCGTGGCAGAGTTTGAGTGCTCCTGGCAGCTATGTTATTGTCCAGGTAAGTTTGCAGTTTACCCCTGGGGGGAAACCCCTGGACATCTCCTTTCCATAGGCTCCAACATCACATTTTTGAGGCCAAATGGGAGGTGGCCACCACCTCCATTTTGACCATGTCACAGGTTCCGTCAAGCCCAGACAATTCCAAAAAAGGGATTGCCTCAATTTTAGAGCTGCATTGTGGGGGCTTGGGGGTCTCACATGACACATTGGTTCTAAGCGAAGGACGAGACAAAGAGTGGTTCAGGTGACCTTTAACAGGAACAAAACAAAAACGTCAGAGACCAGGAGGACCCAGCATGGAGGAATACCAGAGTCCTGTTCTAAGAATGGTTCCTACGTATGAGATCCGGGTGAGTAGGCTTTGATGAGGCCCAGTCAACATGGGTTACATGGACTCTTCCACCAATGCACCCACCCCCTGAATGAGGAGTCAGACGGGTTTGATGAATTGTGGTTGAAGTAGCAGACCAAGACAGGAGCTCTGGCAGGCCCCAATTGGCAACTGGAACATGGAACACCACTTTTTTAGTGGGGAAAGAAATTGCTGGGTATAGTTGGGCTCACCTCAACACATTTGGCTCTGGAACCCAAGTCCTTGAACGTAGTGGGACTCTGGGTGAGAGGCAGAGAGCCAATTTGGGCATCTTGTAAGCCTCAAGACTCTGTCATTATGTTTGTACAATGTTTGAATATGAGGACGCCCACACTTGGTACTGAGGCTGTGCAGGTTTAAGGTTGATGACTGGCTGTGGAGTTACAGTCATGCAAACTGCAGACCTATGTTTTGGACAACAGGGTGAAGAGAGAAGCAGAGCTGCCAACTGATCACCACCTGGTGGGGAGTTGAGTCACATGGCTGGGGAAGATGCCTTGTAGACCCGTTAAGTCTAGATTTTAGTGAGAATCTGATGGGAATGGTTGAAGGTTGTCTTCAACTCCCACTCTGACCATGTCTTCTGGGTAGTGGGGGACAATCAGTCTGAATGGACCTTGTTCTCCTCTGCACTTGTCAAGGCAGCTATTGCTCCCTGTGGCTTCAAAGTTACTGGATCCAGTGGAGGTGTTAATCATTACCCACTGTTGGACACCAGTGTTAGGGGAACCAATAACCTAAATAAAAAGGCCTCACTCTAACTCTCACCTGTGACCACATGACTCGTAAAAAGACTAAAAGAATGAGATCCCAAAGAGAAACAGAAGAACAAATTCCCCAAAGGGTCGCTGATCTCAGAAATACAGTTAGGGGTTTGGACATTTAAGCTTGACATGGAGTTGATCTGCAGCTCCTCGATATCGAAACAAGCCCGCTGAGGTGGTTTAGAAATTTGGTTCAGACGCACTCTGGACACCTCCCGGCTACCGCGGCGTTACGGGTGGGCCTACCAGGCCTAGGCCCACCCACCTGCACCTGTGGCCAACCCAGAGCGGCCTCGAATTGCCTTGACCAATCACAGCAGGTCATTTCACAACAACCAATGCCCGTTTAAGTCACGGTTTTCGGCTAGTAAAACAGAAGAAAATTACAAAAAACTGGTGGTTTGTGTACAATTTCTCTAAAAAAAAGTTGTAGCCCGGTTTCTAAAATAGTTTAATGTGATGGCGCAATAGTTCTAGTTTCTTAAAAGAGTAAGCAAGGAGCTCCCAGCAGCATCTCCCACGCTCTGTGACCAGTCATCACAAGAATCTTCTGCACCACCAGCACCTAAAGTTAGCAAAAAGCTAGCTGTTGCTTGTGTTAGTTCCTCACAGGATGTGGATTTTGTTAGCAGCATGTCACAGAATGATCCAGCGGCAGTCACCAGCGCAACTGTTGCGTCCTCGACTCCGATGGACCCGTCAGCTACCAGTGAGCCAGCATCGCAGCCCAAACTCAAGCAGTACCCAGTCAAAGTTTTTGGTCATAAACCCAGGAGTTTTTCTT